CAACGTTATTGAGCCTCCCGGATACAGTATAAGCAAAGATGCTAGAAAATAGGTGCCGCGAAATAACTGACTTCAAGATACAAGATCAGTGCGGCTTCCGGCCCGGTTGATGCACCTCTATCGAGAACTTCGCCATTTTCCAAATCGTTGAGAAATCGTGATTTCGCTTATCCGGTGTACATGTACTTTGTTGTCTTAGAGAAAGCCTATGACCGGTTACCGCGCAACAATCTATGGGCACGCCTGCGAACATATGGGTTCGATGGCCAGCTGCTATGGGCCATCCAATCACCATACGTTGATAGCAGGTGCTGCATCAGAGTAAATTGCATTAAGTCGAAACCTTTCAATGCTGCAGCTGGTCTCTGCCTAAGCTGCTTTCTGTCCCCTCTGACGTTCGTGTTGTGCATGGATAGAACAGTCAGGAGCTGGCAAGACGATGAGTGTATCGCTGTAGGAGATATGAAGACGAGCAGGCTGCTGTTTGCAGAAGGCCTTGTTTAATCTGCATCCTCTGAACCGATCTCCAGCGGTCTCTGTAAAGGTTTGCAGAAGAGTGCGACGTGACCAACAGGCGTGTGAATGTATCTAAATCGAAAAGCGTAGTACTACCTCGTTTTTCTGTTCTCTCTCTGTTCAGCTCTACAGATAGAAGAAAAAGAAGTAGAACAGATGCAGAAGTTTACTGGTGGCGCGAAATAGGAGGGCGTGATAGCCCTCTGAAGTAGAGTGATCAGTGGAGGCGTGAGTGAACTATCCCGAGCTGTTGTAACTAAGGTTCCAATATGAACGGGCAGGTATGCCCACAGATCACAGGTTTTCTCCAGGTCCAAAAAGAACATTTAACCCGATTGACGAAACTCTCAAAATCTCCCAACTATCTGGCGTAAGGCGAATATCTGGAGAGATGCTTCAGCCTGATGTGAAGCCACAATGCTATTCTTGCATCTTAGCACGAACTACTTCGCAAAACTGCCTTCCTAACTCTCTGGGCGGAATATTACTGGAAGGCTCAGTAACGCAGTACTCCGATAACTGGAGCAATCTCTGTGGTCTTCCTGAAAAGAGGTACTATCATCCCAATTCTCCAGTGAACCAGTGTCTTCCCCG